GGGTGGGTGGGGGAGGGGAGGTGTGGTCGAATCCAGGGGTTCCTGGGAAACGCCCGGCCGCCAAGGTGCATGGGAGGAGGGGAGGGCGTGTGGCCGAGTGCGCCGCGGGCGGGGTGCGCAAGGCGCGGCCCTGACATCGGGGGCTCCGCCAAGACCCGCAGGTGTGCCGCGCCACACCTCAGCCACACCTCACCCCACCCAGCGCGGGCTCCGTCCTCGCCCCGCCCTGTACCCACGCACCCACGCCGCGCCGCCCCTGCGGGCCGCTTCCGCTTCTGAAAACAGAGCGTGACCAAGCTGGCGATCGAACCCATGCTGGGGTTCATCACAAAGGTCACCGCCGTCAGGGTTGCCGCCACCACCAACCCCTCCGCCGCGCGGCCCCTCAGGGAGCAGGTGCGTTTCCACCCCGCACCACCACCCGCCCGCTGGCGCCGCACCCGTTTGCACGATCCGCCCCCTGCGCGACGCGGCCGCGGCGGCGCCGGCCGTAGGCGCCGCCGCGTCTTGGTCCGGGCCCCGGCGACGCCTCTCAGCGGACGGCAGACTCGGCTCAGTTTATCCGGATCCCAGCCGGCTGCTCTCATCATTGTGACGTCAAATCCCCCATCTGCGAGCCAGGATTTTTCCTTGCCTTTCCCAAAGAGGTCTCCCCCCCTTGGGCGCTGACAAAGCGTGACGTGGCATGATGCTCGATCCCCATCTCGACGCCCCGCCCGAACGCCCGCCTTCCGCAGGCGTTTGCGTCCGCGGAGAAGCTGTCCGAGGTGGTGGCCAAGGTGAACGCCGCCCTGGCGGGCCCCGTGCCCGAGGCGGCCGCCAAGGCCTGCCTCTACCTCACAAACCCCGCCACGCGCGCCATCCTGTTCAGGTGCGGGGGCGGCGCGTCTTTTGATGCCGGGCAGAGAGGGGCCTTTGGCGGCGCGCTGCGCGCGCGCGCGGCGCGCAGGGAGCAGGGAGCCCAGCTGCAGCCCGCCCTCGACTGCAGACCCTCCGCAGGCACGGCTCGTCGCTTGTCCCGGCCAGCCTGTAAGGATACTAGCCGCCCCGCCGCCCTCGGGCCGCTGTACGACCCCGCATGCCCTTACCCCAGGTACACGGCCGCCCGCCCCTCAATCCCCTCAGCCCGGCCCCTCAAGACCCCTGGGACCGCCCTGTCAAACACCTCGCCCCCTGCCCCTTTCAACCTCCCCAGCCCCGGCGCCTCACCACCTTCAAGCTGCCCTTCCCCCTCGTGCACGCGCGCGCGCACACACACACACACACACACACACACACACACACGCGCGCACACCCCATCCCTCCCCCAGGCCCATCAAGAGCAACATCGCCGAGGCCCACGGCCAGGTGGCGCAGCTGCTGGAGGCAGAGTACCTCCCAGAGGAGGCCGCGGCAGTGCCCCTCATGCAGCCAGATGCCCTGGGCGCCGCCCTCGAGTTCTGAGGCGGCCCCCCGCGGCGTGGGATGCGCCACTGGCCCCCTGCTGACCGGGCGTGCGGGGCGGGCGGGCGGGCGGCGGCCGATTGGTCGTGGGAGTGGGCTCTGCTGTGGCGTGTGGGGCGCCAAGCTTTTCAGGGCTGGGCCTGGGGTACCAGCTGCAAACCCGCACAGCACCCCGGTGTAATGCGCCTCCCTGCTGCCCCGCGGCAGCGGCGAAATCTACGGGCCTGCTGGCTGCGGGCTTCTGGACTTCCTTTGCTAGGTTCATCCTGTGCCACCGAAAAAGAGGTTGGACCAGTCAAAGGACACAGGGCAGGGGGCAGGGAGTTACACAGCGGTCTTGAGTGCGGCCCACACAAGCAGCGGCATGCTCAAAATTCCGCGAGAAGCAAAAAGCGAGGGCGTGTGGTGTCAGTTCATCCGCGTCCATGCAAAAGCCGGTAGTCAAGCCAGAGGCCCTCATGCGTAACAACAGGGCGCAGCCGAATGCAGTCCAGTCTGCAGAGGCAGACGCGCAGGCGCCGGGGCCGCGAGCGGGTGCGTGCTATCACGCGCCCTGCACGCGGCCGCGCAGCGCAGGCAGGCGGCGCCATCACTGGCTCTACCTGCCGCCGAGCGCCGCGGCGACCCGCAAGGCTGCAGGCCGCAGCACGGGCGCTCTTACATCAACAACACCTCGCAAAAAAATTCCACCGCCGCCGGCGGCCGGCCCCGAGGTCCGGGCAGCACTGCGCCCGGCGGCCGCTTGTCGGCGGCGACGGGTGCCGGGGCGCGCCAGCGGCGCCGCTGCGCCTGGTGCCGTGGGGAGGGGTCTCCCGGCGGCGCTGGCAGGCAGGGGGGCAGCAAGCAGAGCAGCGAGGTCCGCGCCGGCAGCCCCAGGAGCTCAGGCCGCGGTGGTGCCTTGCGCTGACCAAGGGGGGGGGCCAGGGCGGCGCTCGAGGGCCCGCCTGGGGCGTCGCGTCGGGCTGCGCGTGTGCCCTCATGCATACTGCTTGATGAATGACTGGTGGAAGTCCCTGGGGGTTGGTACAGGGTGGGGTGGGATGACATCAGGGGAACGTCCCCACCATGAGGGCCGCGCGCCGCCCCGTGCGAGCCGCTTTCCTCCCGTCGCGCCCGCGCCAGACGCAGGCGCAGGATCGACGGGCCCAGCCCCACGCCTGCCGACCGCAACGCCCGCCGCAGCGGCCTCCGCCGCGCCCGTTGGCCGCCCCCAACCTCCCGCCCTGCCTTGCCCCCCATCCCCTCCCGCACTCACTTGAACAGCTGCACAAACTCGGCCATCTTCTCCTCCCGCGGCAGGATCGTCGTCCGCAGGTGGAACGTCCCCTCCTCCTGCCCAAACCCGCTGCCCGGCACGGTGGAAATCCCCGTCGCCTCCAGCAGCCGCAGGCAGTAGAACACGTCCGGCGCCTTGCCCGCCGCCTTGGCCGCCGCGACCGCCTTGGGCGGCAGGTGGAGGCGCGGGAAGGCGTACATGGCACCCTCCGTGAAGTTGCAGGTCACGCCCTCCAGCGAGTTGAACCCGTCCGTCACCATGTGCGCGCGGCGCCGCAGCGACGCGAGCTCGCCCTCGCGCTCCTGCCTCCAGAGGTCGTAGCTGGGGGACCCGGGCGCGGGGGGGTTGACCATGCAGGACATGGCGATCTGGCCGACGGTGCCGGGGCTGAGGTTGATGGAGGCGATCTTGTACATTTCCTCGATGGCGCCGGGGTGGATGTTGGTCATCTCCACATAGC